TATTTATTTATTTATTTATATACGGCATCCATTTACTTACAATTTTTACAAAGTTACATCTTAAAAATAATATATTATTAAAATAACAATCACAAGTTTTAAAAAGTTACACATTAACAACAATAAATTATTAAAATAACAAACACCTCAGAATAATACAAACATATAAGAATAATACAGATGTACAACCAACTTATTGTAAGATATTTTTTAGTTGGTTTTTAAACAAACTAATTTTGGAGTCAAAAATATCTATTTGTCTTGGCAAGCTATTAGCATTCCGGACCAATCGTGTAGTTGGTTCATTGATACCATAATTAGTGTGGTGAAATGGCAACGAAAAGATTTCTGATTGTCTGTTGCTTCTACTAGGAACTTTAAGACTAACAAGCGATAAGAGTTGAGGACAATCTATAAAAGCATTGATAACTTTGTGTAAGAAACATAAATCTAACAATGTCTTCCTTGACTGAAGTGTTGGTAAGTTAAGACTATCTCTTACCCACTGATAGTCGTATTCCTCTCTCCTGTATCCACTCTTATAGGCTGCTACCCTCAAAAATTTATTCTGGACTCTTTCAATCTGTTGAATGTAACAGTGGTATGATGGGGACCATACAACTGATCCAAACTCAAGAATGGGCCTAACGAGACCACGATAAAGTCCTCTAAATGTAAATAAAGACAGATCCACAGATGTGCGTTGGATAAATCCCAGCACTTTCATCGCTCTGTTTGTTACTTGGTTAATATGGATTGAGAATGACAGTTTGGTGTCTAACCAAATTCCCAAATCTAATACATACTTCATTTTTCGAGGCTAATGGCAAGTTATTTATGTAGTAAACATATGTAATTGGATTTCTTTGCCTCGAGAATGTCATTTTATGACATTTGTTTATATTGAGTGACATTTTGTTTAAAGTGCACCAATCATAAAACGATTTAAAATCTTCCTGTAATATAACAGCATCATTCCAGGATTGAATTTTTCTAAACAGTTTTACATCGCCAGCAAACATAAGAACACTACAATTTTTGATTTGTTGTACTAAATCAACCAGAAACAAGCAGAACAAAACAGGCCATATTATCATCAACCTCTAGGCATCCTTTCTCCGCTTTTTCCATATGTCTCTGTCTCGTGTGGGGCTTGGTACGTTTTGTTCATCAGTTGCCTGATAATCTGGTGATGTGTCCTGCCCAGTCCTATTTTAGCGACGCGATTTTTTCGATAGCGTCTGTTGATTTCATTTCTTCTTCGTATTTCTTCTTTTGCGAATCGGTCTCTAAGAGAAACACCCAACATCAGGTACCCCTCTGAGTTCAGGCGAATCTGGTTTAATACTTTTTGTGTGAATCTTAATATTTTCGTTCCACAAATAAATATAGGTAACACATACCGGTCAAAGAGCATTCTTTTGAGGCCTAGGATTAAAATACCTAATTTAATTTACCAAAGGCTGCCTAGGTTAATCTATTTAACGTGCGAGCTTGTAGCATTTGCAATTCATTGATTCTTTAAAATATATTGAAATACCCTCGTATATGTATTATATTGAAATCCCCTCATATATGTTTCAGAAATCGCAGAATATTTTTTTGTGTTTCAATTTCCGATTCGTACGTATTAAAACACCGAATTCTTTCAATTCATTTTAGCGTTGCCGAGTAATAAAAACCATTTTAGAGTTGAAAAACTAGTAGTTGTAATAGGTATAATTAGGCAGCTCAAAGTGGCGCCCTGTATTAAATTACTAGAGGTGTTTCCTGTTTGTTTTTGCTTTGTTTATTCCAAGAGATTCATGGCGTTTTATTTCATTTTTTTGTAGTTGCCCCAATCCAACCCCCTTGCCTTTTAGTTATCCACGACCCCAGCTCTCCTAACAAACCCTGAGTGCCGTTCGCATAAGTAGCGATTATTTTGCTTGCCTTATCTCCACCCCCTTAGTTTCAGTTCCGAATTTTCTATCCCTTGTATTAATACCACATGTGGTAGGCAAAATATATATCGTTACAAATATTGTATCTATCGTTACAAGCTCACATATCTCGTTATTTCTGCTCTGAATGAATAAATGGCTTTCCTAAGTACTTACACGACTCACTCTACTCAATAGCCCTTCTATTAACAACAATATTACGATTTATCACTAGATTAGTAGGAGAACCCAAGAATATCACCCAAAACGCTTAGTTCATCACGTCGAGTCGTATGAAGTAGTCGTTGTCAATCTGGGAGTACGCACGGTTGGTGTTTTATCGGAGATCAAAGAAGAAACCTGTAAATTCTAATTTTTTCGTTGTGTCGCTAAGCTAATTATACTGTTTACCATTCTTTTTTTCGAAATTAACCTTACATGTTTGTTTCAATATACTTTTAGCTCTCTAAAACTGTAGTAATGACTCGGAACCAATTAACATAACCTATTATAACACTAATGTTTCTGGGAACGGTTGTCTGGGGTACAATGGGTAAGTATACCCCATTACGCCTCCGATTATATTTAGTATTGATAAATATTTTTCTTCTCGTATTTTCTCGTTTGAAATTCTCGTATTGATTATATTTTTTATTTATAACCGCATCTAAGCAAGCTGTAGATGCGGTTATAAGCGGACAAATGAGATATTAGGCTGTGTCTAATCGGTTTGGTGTCCCATCATCAACGCTGGACCAATATATTTAGAAAAGACGGGAGAATCCAGACGCTGTCATTAATAAAACGTCAGGAAAGTATAAAAAAGTTTAAATATTTAGCAATAGCTTGAGCTTGTCGTTTATCTGAAAGATATGCAAAAACAACTGTTCGGCATGACTATGAAAGAGTTTTGCCGACGACTAGCATACCAGCTATCAGAAAAGAATAACTGCAAGCATAACTTCAACAGAACATCGGAAATGGCAGGAGAAGACTAGTGTAAAGGTTTTTAAAGATCGAATTAGATGCCACTAGAATTTTCAACTATGATGAAACGGGTATTAGCGTGGTTCCCAAGCAGTTTTCGAAAATAATAGCTGTTAGAGGACAATGTCAAGTAGGTGTCTTAAGTTCTGCTGAAAGAGGCACCACTACTGCCACAGCCGAAATATGTTGCTCAGCTGCCGGATGTTACATGCCCCCAATATTAATGTTTCCGCGAAAAAAGAAACAACGTGAATTTGAAACAGGTCTCCCACCAGGAGGCTGGACTGAAGTTAGCGACTCTGGTTGAATAACTGCAGAGATTTTCGTAAAATGGCTACAACAGTTCATTCTGTTTAAAGCGACGAAAGAACACCCAGTTCTGTTACTTCTTGACTAGCATACGTCACACACATACGTGACAATGGTGTGTTAATATCGTACTTCCCTCCTCATTGCTCTCACAAAATTCAACCATTGTACGTTGAATTCATGAAGCAGTTGAGCTTGTATTATAAGGATGAAATAAGGAAGTGGCTCAGGTCGCATCCAGGGAGAGTGGTTCAGCTTTTCGACATATCAACACTTCAAAACTGGTCAACGACAAAAAATCTGGTATCTGGTCATCTAATATGAATAAATTCACCGATGACGACTTTCTACCATCAGCAACAACAGATATTCCCTTGGAAAAATCCTGTTGGCAGGACAATCCAGGAAACATCGCAAGAGACAACTGACTCAACGCCAACTACACCAGTACAGAAGCTTTTCTCCTCACCCATGTTCGTCCCACACCCGTAGTTGATAATCATGTCCAAAAAAAAAAACTAATTAACTAATAACTAAAAAAACTAAAATAATCCATCCGTACCGACAATTGACGAAAATCTTCCCCCACCAGAGAATGTCCCTAAACCCGGATGTTCTTGGATGCCCGATTCCCCTGTTCGTACTAATGCTGACACACATTTTTCAGTCACGTCATTGCCATTCCGTTGCCAAAAGTTAAAGCCGGAACAAAAAGAGCTGTAAAAAAGCGTGGAAAGACTGCTGTCCTTACCGCCTCACCTTATAAGGTTAAACGGGAAGAATTTTTTAAAAAAATGCAAGCTATGAAAAAAATCAGAGGTTAATGTTTAAAAATGATGAAAACAAACCCAGAAAAATTTAAACTCAACGAAAAAGGAAAGAAAATAAGAGCAAACAGGTTAAAACTAAGGCAAAGAAACAAAATATATCTGAAACTGAATCCGAAGATAGCGCAGAAGAAGAAGATACTGCTTGTATTGCCATGATTACTACTCTAATGAAGGCTGGTGTTCTTGTAGCATTTGTAAGAAATGGGCACATCTAGCTGGTTTAGATAGTGACGATGATGAAAGCGTTCTCGTCTGTGAACGTTGCCAATGACATTAGCTATAGTATGGGACACCCCATTGTGCCCTGGGGATGGGGCAGAATGGGAAATTTCCTTTTATTTTTGTAATACACATTTTTCTCTGAAACGTTTATTTTTTACTTAAAACTTTAGCTATATTTTTTTTGTAAAGAAATAAATAAATAAACATAAGATTTGTCAAATGATGGTGTAGTTTCATTAAATATCGCACAAATTACTATCAAACTTAGGTACCTTGTTCCACCCCGGGTTCCCCTACATAAAAACAATTAAAATTAGGCCTTTTCTCATTTTTAAGTTGGGCGATTTTCGACAAGCTTGTTAAGTTTGGTGTTTTCAATTATAGGACTAACTAGCAAAAAATAAATATCACGATATGATAAACTTAAATATAATAGGGATAATGTAATAAAATAATTAATTATTGTTTTTTCTATCCATTAATTCGTATACGTTCCGCCACTGGCAAACTGTTCTTACATCATGTGACGTTAACAACAGTCTACTAACAACAATTCACTCCGTTTCTCTTTCGCGTCTCGAATAGTCGATGTCTCTGTCTTGGTCTAGTCAGGATAAGTCCGTAATTCCGCTCATATTCCGCTTTGATACGTATATCAAGTCAAGGTCGGTTAAAAATCACCTTATAAAATCGATAAGGTTCTAATCATAGTTTATTAATTAAAATTATAGACATTCGGTTCTGTGTGTTGTAACTAGTTTCAGTGACATTTCAAAACAAACAGAAGAGACTTTTTGCAGGTTATGTGGATTGATTTTTGATAAAAATGACGGAATATATACGTAACGGTCACCAAAACGGTAAGTAAAAAATTTCTGGTCACGTTAAAACTGGTTTTTGGGAGAAAATACTCATTCAATCAATCATTTTCTGACAGTAGTAATACACGTGAACTTTCAATGAATCAATATCGACTTATGCAGTGGCGTACTAAGTGTCGATATTTTAATAACAAGTGAACATGGTACAATTACAATAATTATTATTCCATCGAGTAGGTATAGTTGTTTTTTATGAATAGAAGATTATGTATTTTAAACTTATGGTGTTGAAAATTTATTTTAATTTGTATACTTATTTTGTTTGTTTTCGTGTTTTTTTATGGTTTTCCTTTATTCTTTGCTCTGCTCTGTGTTTCTTGTCTGCATCTTTCTTTCCATCGTCTTACAAACATTTAATTGTGGCCTAGGCTACAATACTTGTATTTAACCCGATAATGTGTGCCTTTGCCATGTTGTTGCGTTACACGCAATGCATTGACTAAGTTTGTGTTTAGTAATGTTTCAACCTTGTCCATAGTATATTGCTTAAAAAGAATTCTTTTTAAGCAATATACTGTGCCTTGTCAGTCAATTGGGTTGGTGATCGCCCTCGAGTTCTTCCTTTCGGTTTTCCTTGGACCATCAGTCGCTTTCATATTATTGGTACGTGTGATATGTCCCCAGAATGTTAATATCTTTAAAAATACGGAACTGGAGAGACGTTGTGATTTGTTAGTATTTTCAAGAACAGTATAAAATTCTGCCAGAAAATCAGTCCGGTTTCAAAAAGGATCACAGCTGCACTAGTGCCCTTTTAAAAATAACTGATGACATATTTGGTGGTTGCGATAATGGCTTAATTACAGTGCTGCTTCTTTTGGATTATTCCAAAGCTTTTAATACGCTTGACCATTCTCTGTTGATTTCAATGTTATATTGGTATGTCTAAGCAGGCATCTGATATGCTATTCAGTTATCTGAATAATAGAAGTCAAGCTATTCATTACAATGGTAAGACATCGATCTATCTTAAAACAAATAAAGGGATACCACAGGGCTCTATATTGGGTCCCAAATTATTTAGTATATATACTTCAAACTTTCCTGCTCATTTTCTCTCCTGTAATCAGCACTATTTTGCTGATGACACTCAGATCTACTTATCCTTTAAGCCTGATGAGTTTAAACAGGCAGTGGCTGCAATTAATTATTATTTAGAAAGAGTTTCTCAATTTTCTTTTAGCCATTGTCTTCGGCTTAATAACAATAAATCTGTAGGTATAGTTTTTGGTCCAGTGACACAAAGAGAAATATTTCTGAGAGATTTTGTTCATATGATCACCATTGATAATTCTTCGATAGAATTTAAGGCAACTGTCAAAAACTTAGGCTTACATATAGATCATAACTTAAGATTTGGTGATCATGTGAACAAGTGCTTGCAGAAAAGTTATATAAATTTGAAATTTATATTCCAATCCCGTCATATCAAAGGCTTAAAAAAATTGCTGTGTGATACCTTGGTGTTATCACATTTTAACTATTGCGATACTATTTATAATTCATGTATTACAGAACGTGATTGTTATCGAATACAAAAAATGCAAAATTCTTGCCTTCGTGTGATACATGGTATCCGCAGAAATCAACCAATAAGTTACAAACTTAAAGAAACAGGTTGGTTAAGTATGAAACTCAGACATTTTCATTCAGCCTGTCAATTCCAAAAAATCATTATTTTTAAAACCCCACCATATCTCTATAATAAAATAAAATTCCATACTGATGTACATAATATTAACATTGACATAAAAACACCATTTCTATCCCTTATCATCGTACACAGAACTATAAGCGATCTTTTTCATATCATATAGCTCAAACAAGTTATGAATAATTATACCACTGCTCTTAATTTTACTCAAAACAAATTTAAAAAGTTTGTTTTTGAGAAATTACGACATATTGCATAGGTAAGGTTTGATAATATAATATGAGTAGAACTTACATTTAGGGCGCATTAATTGAATGCTAGATTATTTATTTTTATATTTTCCTACATTTAGTTAACTAAAATTTATTTAATTTACATTTTGATTTTGATTTCGTTTTTATATAAATATTAGTACTATTAATTGGTTACAATTCTAGATATTTCTTATTATTTGTTTGCCCAGGTTAGCTGAACAGACAGGATGTGTCAGTGCTTCGCACTGTACATTTCCTGAACTGAAACTCGCCTGGAGCTTTTTGAATATTAATTTATGTAAATAATATTATGTGATCAATAAAGGCCTTTATTATTATTATTATTTCTTCTTCTGATAATTCAAGATATATTGAAAGCATTCTTTCTCACAATATATTATATGAATGATCTAGATTTCAGAGGCATAACTAAATATTGGACAAACAAGTGTTTCTACTAGAATAATCTCAGTTTTTTGTTCTAGTTGTTTTTACATACATAGAGGTTCTACTCATCTTCTCGTGTATAAAAGCTGCCGACCAGTTCATATTCTGCCATTTTAGCAGTTTCCATTCTTTTGTTTTATTTTCGTATTTAAAACTGAAATTGTGGTTAATTCCCAATAAAAAAATAGTAAATAAATTTAAATTCCACAAGAAAATATCTTCAGAACAATATTTCCTTTGCTTGATTGTCGAGTATCAACGCAAAGGTCTTTCTGAGTTTTAGCTCTATGCAATACATTATCGCCAAAGCGAAGATTAGATACCTTGACTCAACTAGTATTCACTGTATCGCTTAAATTACCTTGAAGATAATATGCAGCTTTGTCTTCTATCTTTTCTAAGTTTGCATCACCAGGTTTTTCAATCTCATGATTGTTTCATTGTTTTTATACAAATGTTGGATCATTTTATGTGATGTGAAGTTTTATGTGAAGTTACCTGTTCTATTATTTGTCCCTTAGCGTACAAATGCAGTTAACGCAGTCAAATGCTTTTCGATAATCAATAAAACATGCATATACATCCACATTCATGTCTCTGCATCGTTCTGTTAACATATTTAAGTCAAAAAGAGCTTCTAGTGTTCCTAATCCATTTCGAAATCCGAATTGAGTGTCACTCTTCTGAAACTCACACTTCTTGTAAATTCGTAAATGAATGATTCTGAGAAAAAATTTACGGATATGAGGCATCATGCTTAATTTTCGATAGTCATCGAAGTGTTAAGAATGGAGTTGGTATTGTAATGTAAGCGTAGCAAGTGAGTGAGAAGTTGGAATAAAGGGATAATGGAATAATAAGTAGCATAGAAAAGATAATAATTATTCGAGATAATTATTATATATTCCAAATTAAATAAGGGGATAATTAATACAGTTAACTTATACATTTAAATTATACAAAGTATAACAATTGACCTAGTTATGGCATTGTTTGATAATTGTTTAAACGTATAAAAAGCACGAAACTATTGTTGTAAAAAAAGAACAACAACAGCCGTGACCCAAATAGGCGCATAACGCCAAAACTGCAACTCAGCGAACCTACGACCTTGGTACTAGAACCGGCGTTGAAAGTACGACCACAATAAAACAGAAAGAAACGACGGTAGCCAGGTCAGTAGTCGGTAGTCAGTAGTCAGTCGGTAGTGATAACGGGGGCACCGTAACTGCCCGCCCAGTGCAGTGATCGCCGGACGCGATAGCGTCCAGTACGCGAACAGTCGGTGATTTTCCGGGGGCCGGGTATCTTCTGGCAGAATTCGCGTGTAGTCCGGTTATTGTGGCAGCTCGAAAGTTCGCAACCCTCAACTGACCGAGTTCCAGAAGACTGAACGTGTCGTGGTTGAAGCCCTAATATACACATAAGGTAACAGATTTCTTTATACTAACCTGTGTAATTATATTAGTACAACTGTCAACTCTTCACTATCTTGCTACATCGTCTCCCGACGCGCAGAATAACGTGTTAACGATTGTATTAGTAACTTCAGGGTAGATTCAATATATTGTTGACTCTAATTTGGTTTATTTTTTAATGTTCCTTCCGTCCGACTCACTAGAGACTAGGAGAACTCGAGATTCTGCGTATGCATATCTCCGGCTTCAAAAGTAAGCCCATAACCTCTACTCTTCACAGGACCTGAGACCTAGGAGTCCTTACCCCTATCCCGAAATCCCTTATCTTCTCGTAAATCCACGAAGACGAGCCAGCCCTCCAGACCAGTGTGACCAGTATTCCTTGCAGCCGCTCGCAGGGTTAGCATCCCTTGAGGATCTATTGTGTATTTCATTTGGTGACAGCGTTTCCATTACCCTCATATAACGCTCTCATTATTATTCTTTTACATTACATAAACATCATAGATTTATATATGAGGGTAACATATGAGGGTAATCTCAGGTCCTGTGAAGAGTAGAGGTTATGGGCTTACTTTTGAAGCCGGAGATATGCATACGCAGAATCTCGAGTTCTCCTAGTCTCTAGTGAGTCGGACGGAAGGAACATTAAAAAATAAACCAAATTAGAGTCAACAATATATTGAATCTACCCTGAAGTTACTAATACAATCGTTAACACGTTATTCTGCGCGTCGGGAGACGATGTAGCAAGATAGTGAAGAGTTGACAGTTGTACTAATATAATTACACAGGTTAGTATAAAGAAATCTGTTACCTTATGTGTATATTAGGGCTTCAACCACGACACGTTCAGTCTTCTGGAACTCGGTCAGTTGAGGGTTGCGAACTTTCGAGCTGCCACAATAACCGGACTACACGCGAATTCTGCCAGAAGATACCCGGCCCCCGGAAAATCACCGACTGTTCGCGTACTGGACGCTATCGCGTCCGGCGATCACTGCCCTGGGCGGGCAGTTACGGTGCCCCCGTTATCACTACCGACTGACTACTGACTACCGACTACTGACCTGGCTACCGTCGTTTCTTTCTGTTTTATTGTGGTCGTACTTTCAACGCCGGTTCTAGTACCAAGGTCGTAGGTTCGCTGAGTTGCAGTTTTGGCGTTATGCGCCTATTTGGGTCACGGCTGTTGTTGTTCTTTTT